GGGGGGGGGAGGAAAAGAAATTAGAGTAAATACTGCAGAAAAGTAAATGGAGTTGTAAGGCATAGCATCATAGTTACAAGCATCCAGTTTTTACAAGTACTTGGCAGCCAATGACTCCCATTTAAACATATCAATTGTTACTTTTCTTTTGGTGACTACATTTGAAAACATGAGTGACCGCCTAATTTTTGGCTCAGATTGTGACTGCTGAGCACTTTTCATTGATCTGAAGGGAATCTGCCTGAAAAAGTTTTTTCCATTTTTATACCTGTTTTGGCAATTCAGTGCTGTAGGGCAATTTCTCAGGTATCTGCAAAGGGGCAAACACAACTAGAAAATAGTAGAAAAGCAGCAATTTAAGAATTCCAGGGTTCCCCGTTCATGTGTTTCAAAACAAAGGGCAAAGCAAAGCTATTACATCTGGAATGTAATTCTCCACTGTACAATGACAGACCAATTTTGAAAGGATACTGTTGTTAAAGGATACAGATAATGGAGAGCCCAGCAGGTCCTCTCCAAGCGGATTAGGAAAGTGAAAATACTTAGTAAAGAAAGTTTGTTACACTTTTGTCAGTTTGGGAATGAAATGTGGAAATAAAGAGAAATGAGGTGTAAAGCAAGAAAGCCAAGGAATGAGATTTTTGCTTACTTGAAACATGCCTTACAAAAGGCAACATCCATTTTGTATCCAGAAAAAGCTTGTTACAGTTCTTTTTGAATGGCAAGAGCCACCTTTTTAATTCATACAGAATACAAAAGAATGATCTGAAGGGAAAGTAAGCGAGTTGCAGAAATGAGTACGGAAACAAGATGTGATTTTTCTGATGCAGTTTTTGTCTTCCTTTCATTTTTAGATATGAACAAGATGATTAGGCACTGCAACAGAGGTGCAATCTAGGAAAGAGATGAAATCATCTCTGAAATGAGCACTTTTTAGATAAGAGGTAGACAAGAATATATAATTTATTTATATAAAACAGCATTTAGTTGCAGGCAAGTCTAAACCTTAATACCTTTGGCTATTTATATATTGCAGAAATAGATGAGTGAAAAAATGGACTGAAGTCTTTTTTTTTGGTAAAGCGTTATTCTATTTTTGCGACATAAAACTAAAAGCCATTTTACATTTTTAGACTCTGCCGTAGGTATTGGGCAAAGACTTCTTTCAACAATGCGATTCATAAAAAAAGGCACACAAGAAAAATCATGAAAGATCATGAATTGACAGAGCTCACTATTCTAAAGAAAGGAAGGTGAGAGAGCACCAGAGTAAGGATAACAGACTTCAGAAGAGCAGACTTCAGAAAACTCGAGAGAACTTGTGGGAAAGGTCCCTTGGGAAGATAACCTGATGGATAAAGGAGTGAAGGAGAGCTGGCAGTTACCCAGGGAGACTATATTAAATGTACAACAGCAAACTTTCTTGGTGCAAAGAAGATGGAAAGCATGGCAGAAGACCTTTATAGCTGTATCAGCTCTTCAACGATTTGAAAAATCAAAAGGAATAATGCACAAAAGTAGAAGCAAGGGCACACAACCAAGGATAAATATAAAGTAGTTCAAGCATGTAGAGATAAAAATCAGAAATATTAAGGCAAAAAATGACTTTCAATTAGCAAGGGCCATAAACATTGAGACACTGAGTTTCGATAGAGAGCGCAGAACAACTGCAGGTGCTTCCTCAGCCTGAAGAAGGGTGTTTGTACCCAAAAGCTTGCAAAGAAGAATTTTTCTAACTATTTTAGTGGGTCTACTAAAATATATCAGATTTACCCAAAGAACCTCATCTGCCTATAAACATTGAGAAATATTTTTATTAATATTTCAGAAATAAGGGGGGAACAAAGTGAACGACAGACCCACTTCTGAATAGGAAGAAAGAGCAAATAATGGATGATGCAGTGAAGGCTGACTTCAATGCATACATTGCTTCACTCTTTAAAAAAATTGTGGTAAGGGGATAAACACAGAAAGCCTGCAAAAAAACAAATTAAAGAATTATTAGCTAGAATATACGTGAACAAGTTGGCAGGGCCTGATAGCTTCTCAAGACCTAGGGAGAATTTATTTGAAATAGCCTCTGAACCATTAGCAATTTTCTCCTAGAGCTTAGAGGACAGAGGTGGTCTCAGAAAACTGGAGAAGGACACACAATCCTGAAAACGAGCCATGAGCAATGGATGAGAGGACTGGGTTTGTTTACACCAGAAACAAACCCACCATACACCAGTATGCAAAGTGTTCCTAAAGAGATGACAGTGATTAATTCTCCTCCATGGCTATGAGGGGAAAGACAAGAAGAAATTAACTTGATTTGCAAGTTCAGGTTCAGATTAGAGATTAGGAGGTACTACGTCACTGTTAGGGTGGCTAGGATCTGGAACCAACTTCCTAGGGAAGTGGTCCTCGCTCCTACCTTGGGTAAATTCAAAAAGAGGTTGGACGAACACCTGTCTGGGGTCATGTGATCCCAGTGTGTGCTTCTGCCAGTGGTGGGGGGTCAGACTAGATGATCTGTTCAGGTCCCTTCTGACCCCAAACTACTATGAAACTATGCAGGAAAGCAGATTTAGTGTGGATATTAGATAAAGATTTCTAGCTGTTAAAGTGATGAAGCACTAGACTGGGCTTACTACTGGTGGTGTTGAACCTCCTTCACTAGACATTTCTCAGAGTAGGTTAGACAAACCTCTGTTCGGGATGATCTGAGTAGACTCAATCCTGCCTTAGTGTAAGGGGCTGGACTAGAAAATCTCTAGAGGTCCTTTCCAGCCTTCTGTGATTCTTTTACATCAGTATAACTAAATGTACAATAAAATAAAGTTCAGTGTACCATATATGACAGATCTAACGGGGGAACATCAATCACCAACAAAATAAAATAAAAAAAAGCAGCAGGGCATTTTCGATACACACAGCCTATTATATATTCAGCTATTGCGGGAGATAATAAAGAACTCTGATTCTGATGTACTGTATAACAGGCCCAAGCTTTTGATATGTAAACTGCTGTTTCAGAAGGCAAGCATTCACCCTTTTTAAACCCCACTGGACTTCTGAGACAATGGGCAACTACATTGTTTTAAAAATGATAGAAAGACTGCTGTATTATTATTTGCAGAAGTAAAAATATTTGAAATTCAGCAGTTTGAAAACCACGAGTTGGGACTACCTTTGCAAACATATAATGCTTCATTGAGAACACCAACTTAGAAAGATACGATTTACATGAATTGAATTCTAAAAAAGGTCAGTTACCGATGCCAACATGTGCTTCTTGTATCATGCTTACATCATTAGCACCATCACCAATGGCTAATGTTATAGGTTTCTCTGGCGATGTTTTTAACAGTCGTACCACCTGGAAAAAAAAAGGGAGGAATCTTCTTAATTTATGTATTCAGGCTAGGAAGCGCTGTCACTAATTCCTGAACAGATTTGTTCTTTACCTATAAGCACTCATGAACCCTATGTATCAGCATTTCTGAGCAACGGTATCTCTAGTATGTCATGTTAAGCGGAGCAAATATATAGCTCTTTTGAAAAGGCCTCTTGCTTTTGGCCACAACTGTTTGCTTAACATCACAAATCCCTGGTAGCAATTACACAGACCATGTGCCCAAAAATACAAGAGCTCTTTTACTTCCAGTAGAAATAACCAAGCAGCACGTCCTGAGAAAGTTACCCTCAGCTTGCTTTCTGCAAAAGGTTTTTTGGAGACTATGAAAACAAATCTCAATTCCTTTATCAGAATATGTATTGTGTAGGACAGACAGACAAAAAACATTATTCATGGAAAGATACTTCAGACAAAACAAAACTGTGTATGATATCAGTCACCCCAAACACTCTTAAGAAAAGTATTTTTTCCAACAAGAAAAAAAAATAAAGCCCAGAAAAATTTTCCACACTTTCACAGGCTGCCTACTAAAAAACTCGAATTAAAAACCCCCCCAAAACCAAAACACAAAACAGCTATCAGAAAAAAAAAAAGTATTTTATCACACAAAATGCATATGAACAGATTAGGATGAATATACACTCCTTATATCTAGTGAAAAATAAGGGAGTTGAAAATTCACTAAGAAAATAACTTATAGGTTATAACCTTCAAGATGAGATTTCAGGATTATGTGGAGCAAAATATATCAAGAAAAAAAATCTCATTTGGTAGACATGGGTAAATGTAACACAAAGCTAATTTCCTGAAATTCAGCTTCTCTGCGAATTTCCTTTGACACCACTCTTACCCCAGCATGATGCTTAAAATGGTCCATTACAATATAATTCCCCCCCTACAAAACAAAACACAACAAAATGCAAGACAAGAGTGACTGGAGATGGTAAAGCTCAAGAGAGATATACTCACAGAAAACTGGTAAAATATGGCATCAAGAAGGGCCAGAAGTAACTCAAGGATATACATATTTAAAACTCCTGGAGATTTCTGAAAAATTCTTGAATCAGAACAGGAAATGGAAGAAGGTGGGGAAAATACCTCCCTAGGTGTTTTGGAGCAGCAGTGAGCAAAATGATGGAAATAATACATGGCCTGCACACCATATTTCTATTTGACATTTTGCATTGGTATGAAGTTAATTTGCAGATTAAACCGCATACTAAGAAAACAGCCCCAAAGTATTTAGAAATAGAAAGCCTGACAGAAGAGGATCAGCAAGATCACTCTTTCCACGTTAACTGGCTCTGAACAGAAAAACAACTTTTGAAAAAGATTTTTTTGCCGATGAAACACCTTGACTTGGAGTTTGCTTTGCCTGGCCTGTCTCACCCCCATGAAAAAGGGGAAGAATGTAGGAAGAGGAGTGACCTGAGAATGGTCATGTTAAGTAAACAGCCCCATGGGAGAATGCAGTGCAGGATTAAAATGTTGCTCCCTGCTGCCTCAAATAACTGGATTGCATTGGATGAAGCAGGAGATGAATGAAGTAAGAGATGCTGAACTACAGCACTATTCTGGCCCACTGGAGAGTGAGGGGGGGGGGGGAGGGGGGA